TGAAGTATAAAATTATGGGTTCAATTCATTCATGACTATTCTTTGATTTTTTATAATTTGTCTCCTTAGAGCAATCTCACCAATGGGGGAGAAAAATGCCCATGGGGAGTTTTTGGGTTTTAATCCAAAAATAAAAGTCCCCATCAATGGGCTAAATAAAAAATGCCCATGGGCAAAACATTTTTTTATCAAAGTTTGGGCAAAAATAAAATCAGACTAAGAATGAGTGGGCCCCACGTGCGACACTGGCAATAGCGTTTTTTTTGCTCACCACGCCTCAAAACGCAGCGTTTTGAGGAAGCATGTGCTGCGCTTCAACTCAAAACGCAGCGTTTTGAGGAAAGGAAAAGCAAAAAAAAATACTAAATGCACCCCTGACAGGCGCGTCAGCACGCTTAATCAGGCGCTGACACGTGTCCTGTCAGGGAGCTTGGACCAATCAGGAAATTCCTGATTATTGCAACGGTTATATTTTTGTAACCGTTATTTTGTGCTTTTAAAATTAAAAAAAAAAATTACCAACGGCTAGAAAAAAAAATTCCCTACAAATAGAGACCCATTTTGCCTATATTTTCATATTTCCAAAATTCACATAAATTTGTTGTATTTACATTTTCTCTCAATTTCTCCCTCATAATTAGTCATCCTTTTAATATTATTAATATTATTATTATTATTATTATTATTATTATTATTATTATTATTATTAATATTATTATTATTATTAATATTATTATTATTAAAATAAATATTATTATTATTATTATTATTATTGGAAGTATAATTATTATTGTTATTATTTTAGTAGTATTGTTATTAATATTATTATTATTTGTGTTATTATTATTATTATTGTTATTATTGTGTTAGTTTTTGAAATTAATCAAAAAAAATAGATATGGATTCCAATAACCCTTTTTACTCACTACTTTCTCAAAATTGTAATGATTTAGATGAGAATTTCATGAATCAACCTCAATTTCAACTTTTCCTACAAAGAATGAGCAACACCTCTCTGCAAAATCCTCCACAATAACAAATACCTCCACAACAACAAATACCTCCACAAATTCCAACTGAAAACACTGATTACGAGCAATCACCTCCTGTCTACCAAGGAAGTAACTCTCAGTACGATGATAGCTTAATTAGAGGTGTGACATTCTTGGACATCCATCCAATCCAATGTTGTACTTCAACTTCATTCTGAGATATGAAATAATGACATTCTTATAGCTTAATTAGAGGTGTTATTAAATTACTTAATGATTCCGTTTATATTACCTAACTCTATCCCAGGCCAGGAAAGTTAAATTGTTTATAATTCGGCTTGAGCTTTTTGATCCCAGCCACAAATACAAGTATAATTTTATATATATATATATATATATATATATATATATATATATATATATATATATATATATATATATATATATAAAGAGAGATCCGGTGAGAATAGGTCCATATGTGAGAATTCATACTTATATGAGAACTGATTTAAAATTTAGAACATGTGGGTAAAAATTTAGACATACGAGTTAAAATTTAGAACATGTGACTCAAATTAAAATTTTGAACATATGAGTAATAATTTAGAACATTTGTGTGAGTAATATGTTTAGAACATCTGATTTAAGAATTATAACAAGTGATTAAAAATTTATAAAATTTGCTTTATGAAATTTTAAACATATGAGTAACATTTAGAACACTTGATTTAAGATTATGAACATGTGAATAAAAATTTAGAACAAACTAATATTGAATATAGAAAATGTGAGTAAAGAATTTAGAACATACGAGTAAAAAAAATAGAACATACGCTTTAAAATCTGGAACATATAATTAAAAAATCTTAGAAAATCTGGAACATATAATTAAAAATCTTAGAACACACGTTTTAAAATTTAGAACATAAAAGTTAAAAGTTTGGAACAAGTTATTTAAAATTTATGACATCAAGCTTAACTAATTTATAGTTTAGAACATGTGAGTAATAAATTAGAACATTTGATTTAATTTAGAACACCTAAAAAAAAGTTTAGAATATCAGATTTAAAATTTAGAACATACGAGTAAAAATTTTAAACATAAAGAGTGTTCTCACATAAGAAAAATTCTCATATAAGAAAAATTCTCACGAGAGTCTTCCCCTATATATATATAATCTGACCATCTTTTCAATAATATAAAAAAATTTAAAAGTTAAATGGCAACATACAAATGTTGGTTTATTAAAATAAATATGTAAATAAAATAAAATAAAAAATAAAATAAACCAAGACTGCTATGGGTTGTTTTAGTGTGGTCCTTTGCGGACCAGTTACACCAATTGACCATGTTATGTTCACTTCACTTAAAATAATAAGTTGTAATATAATCTTAATTTTTTTATTTGATTCGTTTGATCCAAATTACTATGATCACTTGATTTTTTGTTGTATTTATATGTTAAACATGTAAGAATACACATTATTATGTGAGATTTGAATTTCATTCTTCTTAACATAGGCATAATTGATAGCTTGTAATTGGGAGTTAGAACAGTGGCGGATCAGGAATTTATAAATGGGGGTCCAAAATAAACTTTCAACTTAATCATACCAATGTACGAATAACAAAGTAAAGAAATGTCAAGATACAACACCGAAAATTACAAATTGTTTTCAATAATACAAACCAAATACATTCATAAGGGGGATAATCTGCTGCTTGGAGAAGTCGGAACTCGGAACTCGGAAGCGGTCAGCGGCGACGAACTTTTCCGGCACCAATCTAGCGAACTCAGGTCGGCAAAACTAGCTGTGAGGTTGTGTTAGGCGGTAGTTTGGTAGTAGTACTAAGTAGATCTGGGCATTTGAGCTATTGAGGCATTTGAGTTAGAGAGAGAAAGTTGGGTAAGGGTTACGTTGAAAAGGGTGAGTGACTGTACAAGAACTTTTTAAAAAATTAAAAAAAAAAAATTTGATTTTTATGTACCCCAATCACGTGAAACATTTAGGAGAATTGGAGAAATAAGGAGCCCACTAATTGGAGAAATAAGGAGCCCACTACTTGTTTGTAATGTGCCAGACACATTTAGAATGGGGGTTCAATTTTTTGGGGCTTTTTTTTTTAACTAGCTTGGGCTTATATACCTGATTTTTTTTTTTACAAAATGGGGCTGCAATTGCTCACCATAAGGGCTTAATAGGTCCGCCCCTGAGTTAGAACACGAATTTCTCAAGCATTACTTGAAATAAGGTATGAAATGTGGTTTGAATTTTGCTTAATTTTTACCTAATTGAATCCATTGCATGAGAGCTTGTATACCGATAGAAAACATATATGTGATATAGTTTTTTTTAATCTTAATTACAGTTTTGCTCCAATTATGCCCCAAATTGAGGTTTCACGTCAATTAAAATTTTAAATTTTGTTTAAAACTATGTTAATGTGTTGTCTATTTCACTATTTGTCTAGATATGGGATTAATAGCATCAAATATTGCGTACATGGTCTGGCGATTAGGGATTCTTATATAAATTTGAGGTCTTTTGAACAAATCTTGTGCAAAGCTAGCATGCGTGTTCTTATTACGTAGTATATACAAAGCACTCAAAGAAAGATGGTCACATAGAACGTTAAATTTCACATTCTCTTTATTTATCCCCTTGTTCCTTACACAAACATTAAAACACACCCGTTTTGATCATCATCAACATAATTTTACACCTGCGCTCACTCACTATTTACAAAACTCACCTAAAAACAAGAGTGTACAATAAATGAGTGTCATGTTATATGTATCATAAAAGTTTTGGCGGGGAAAATATTACACCATATATAAAGTGTCAAGTTTCATTTATTACAGTGTAATTATAATAAGCTACTTTGTATATATTAATCTCATAACTTGGCCCAAGCTAAAAGTTGAGCCTCCTTACTCCTTAGTCCCTCCATCATAAGGGTCTGTTCACTTCAACTTAATTTCAGTCCAGTTCAATTCAGCTCCAATCAGTTCAGTTCAGTTCAGCTCAGCTCTTAATTTCCTTCTCTCATAAAATATTCATTTAAGCTATATTTAGTTCACTTCAGCTCCAATCAGTTCAGTTCAGTTCAGCTCCAATCAGTTCAGTTCAGCTCAATTCAGTAAATGTGAACATGCCCTAAGTCCTAACTATTGTTCATGCAATAAGTCTTGTATAAGGCGGATTAAATTAATTTTATTGTAAGACACTCAATTTGGGGGTAGCTTTAACAATTTTTATGGTAACTTTAATCTCTTTAAGGTAACTAACTTTTAGTTTGTAAGGAGTTTGATTGTATTAAAACATTAATAATGGATACAGCTATGAAGGCTTTTGATTAATCTAATACACTATAAGTGTTTTTTAAGGTAAAATTTATGTTAGGAAAATGACAACTTTTTTAACTTTAAATATCTATAGGGTAACTTTAACCCATCTTACAATAAGTTAATGAAAGTTTGTCGTAATCAAGAATATGTGTTATTCTTAAGTAAATCTGAAAATGCAATAAAAAAAGTGTTAGATTTCGGGAAAACTTCTCAGATTGGAGTGTGCACCATTGATTAAAATATATGGCGGTTTACAAGGGTCGTAATCCTATTATGATAAGGATACGGAGTATAACAAATAATATACAAAATTATCCTAATCTTGTGACAAATATTATCTAACATATAATATCTATCACACCCCCGCAGTCGTAGCGGGAGGAGGTCGTACGCTAAGACTGGACCTGAATTCCAGAAATAATTCGCGTGGTAGGCCTTTCGTGAAAATGTCTGCAAACTGATATCTTGAAGGAACATGTAGTACCCGTACCTGCCCCAACGCAACGTTTTCTCGAACAAAATGAATATCCATCTCCACATGTTTGGTGCGTTGGTGTTGTACCGGGTTACCAGAAAGGTACATAACACTGACATTATCACAATAAACTATAGTAGCCTGCCGTAGAGGACAATGCAACTCAAGTAAAAGGTTACGAAGCTAACACGCCTCAGAGACAACATTAGCGATGCCTCGATATTCTGCTTCTGCACTCGACTTAGATAATGTATGTTGACGCTTAGATGACCAAGACACGAGGTTGTCCCCAAGGAAACAACAATAGCCCGAAGTGGAACGTCGGGTATCGGGACAACCTCCCCAGTCAGCATCAGTGTAAGTAACCAAGCGATGAGAAACAGTAGGATATAAATGTAAACCATGATCAATGGTACCCTAAACATAACGCAGAATGCGTTTCAACGCCTCATAATGAGGTTCCCGGAGATCATGCATAAAAAGACACACCTGTTGAAGAGCACCTGCTAAACTGCGATACAAGGTAGGATCCCGAAAAGGTGGTCTTGCATCTGCACTAAGTTTGGACTTAGTGTCTACTGGAGTAGCGGCAGGTTTACAAGAGGCCATACCTGCACGTTCTAGAATCTCCTGTGCATACTTTTCCTGGGAAAGTAGCAAATAAGAAGGTTTTCGGGTTATTGCAATACCCAAAAAATAACTCAGAGGCCCCAAGTCAGACATAGGAAACTCAGTTTGCATCTGAGAAATGATCCCTGTACGCAACCTGTCAGAAGAGGTAGCTAAAATAATATCATCAACATATAGAAGTAAATATGCCATATCATCACCCTGCCAGAAAGTAAAAAGAGAATTGTCACTCTTGGCAATGACAAAACCCAATTTGATGAGAAAATTTGCAAAGCGTTGGTACCAAGCTTTGGGAGCTTGTTTCAAACCATAGAGAGCCTTGCGGTGCCGGCAAACATGAGAGGGAGACCTCCGATCAACAAAACCCGGAGGTTGATGCATATAAACAGTTTCCTGCAGATCACCATGTAAAAAGACATTTTTAACATCTAATTGATGAATCGACCACTTTTTAGCCAACGCTAAACTGAGAACAGTGCGAATGGTGGCCGGTTTAACAACCGGACTGAAGGTCTCATCGCAATCCACACCTACTTCCTGCGACATGCCATCACATACAAGACGAGCTTTGTGCCTTTCAAGGTCACCATTAGACTTGTATTTATGCTCAAATAGCCACATACAATTAACAACATTTTCCCCCGTAGGCCTAGGCACCAAATCCCATGTCCCTGTTTTAATTAAAGCACTATACTCATCATTCATCGCCGCATTCCAATTTTGGTCATTTAAAGCTTGTTTATATGATTTTGGAAGAGGGGATTTTATGTGAGAAGGACCCGAGTTTTGAACTGTGAGGTTACAATATTTCGGGTTAGGCTTAAAAATGGCCCGTTGACTACGGGTTATAGGTGGGGACGGAGGAGGTGGCTGTGTTGGTTGAAGGAGTGGGATACCACGCATAGGCGGTGGAGAGTATGTAGGTGGCGAAATTGGCAGTGGGGATTGCGGGGTTCCTGCGGATGGAGAAGGTGGGCCGCAGGTTGGGTGTGATGTGGGCTGACCGAAAGTGGGGGGAGGGAAATTTGGTGTGTGGGCTGATGGGGAGCCGTTGGGAGCTGGCCCAGTGAGAGGTTGGGTTGGCGTGTGTGGGCCAGGGGAAGGAAAGGAGTGGGCCTGCTGACTTTGTGGAGTTGGGTTTGTTGATAGTTGATTTCGCAAAAAGGGGTGTGTCATCATAACCAAGAAATTCATAATCCTTTAATGTGAAATTAGCTAAATTCTTGTATGGGAAAGTGGACTCATCAAACACTACATGCCCGGAGATATTAATTTTATTTGTTGAAATATCTAGACACTTGTAGCCACGATCATTAGAGGGATACCCTAAGAAGACACAAGGTGTAGATTTAGGAGCTAGCTTGTGAGGAGTTGTGGCGGTCAAATTAGGAAAACAAAGACACCCAAAAACCCGAAGATGATCATATGATGGGTTAGTGCAAAAGAGAGCTTGTGCCGGGGTCAAGTTCTTTAAAGACTTAGTTGGAAAAATATTTAAGAGATATGTAGCGGTCTCTAAGGCATGTGCCCAATAGGTAGGGGGTAAAGAGGCATGGAATAGTAGAGTGCGGTTGACATTATTGATAGTGCGAATCATTCTTTCGGCTTTACCATTTTGAGGAGAAGTGTGAGGGCATGAGAATCTAAAAACCATACCATTCTGTAGACAAAATATTTTGAAAGGATCATTGTCAAATTCCCGACCATGATCACTTTGAAAGGATTTGATGGGACGTTCAAATTGAGTTAAAACATATTGTCTAAAGATGAGAAAACTTTGGTAGGCTTGGGATTTAGATGCTAAGGGAATAGCCCAAACATAATGAGTAAAATCATCAAGAAGCACTAAATAATATTTGTGACCATTACTACTACAAATAGGAGATGTCCACAAATCGGCATGAATAATGTCAAAAGCACAAAAGGTATTACTATTCGAATGATTAAAAGAAAGTCTAACATGTTTCCCTAATTGACAAGAATTGCAAAAATTGGAGTTTATCTCCTTATTGTAACTAATGAAATTATTACTCCTAAGAAAGCTTATAGAAGAAGCTCCCGGGTGACCTAGGCGATCGTGCCAAGTGGAGGGGGCGACTGTGGTGAGAGAAGTGGCAAGGCATGTGCTTGGATCGGTTGTAGTGATAGAATAGAGATCTCCCGAACTATTGCATCTGGTGATTACCCTCCCCGTTCGAAGGTCCTTCACAGAAAAACCATTATGGTCAAATTCAATGGAAACCGAATTGTTAGAGGTGAATTTACGGACTGAAATAAGGTTTTTAATAATTTGAGGGGCTACGAGGACATTATTAAGGGTAAGAGAATTATTCGGGAAATTATAATGACCATAAGCAGTAATTGGAATTCGATGACCATTGCCTACTAAAATATGATTATTAGTGCTTAATTTAAACAAGGGAAGAAGATTACCGGAAGTGTGAGTCATATGAGAAGTGGCTCCCGAGTCCATATACCATCCGTTATCCGGTGAGGACAACCCCGGTGTTGAATAAGCACTACCAAGCTCTGTGGGAGTCATGGGTTGACCGTAAATGGGAGATCCAATGTAATAGGCCTGTGATACCATGTTAGATTTCGGGAAAACTCCTCAGATTGGAGTGTGCACCATTGATTAAAATATATAGCGGTTTACAAGGGTCGTAATCCTATTATGATAAGGATACGGAGTATAACAAATAATATACAAAATTATCCTAATCTTGTGACAAATATTATCTAACATATAATATCTATCAAAAAGTATAGCCCCCTGCAGTCCCACTCGTGCGCAACAAACATGAAACATCTCCTCAATCCCAAATACTTTTAACCCGGATTTGGAAAATTGGATCTAATATCTGGCCAAGACGTGTAGAAATTGGATCTATTATAATACAGTAGTAATTAAAGTAGTACACCCAAATGTAGCTAATTAAGGGTACTTACTTAGCAAGGCAAATGAAGTAATTTCAAGGAGCATCACCCCCTAAAACTATGGATCTATATATCAGATCATCGTAGATTTTCTCTCAGAAATCTTATCTTATTGTATCACAACATGACAGATGCATTATCTGTTTCGTTTGAGATACATTGTACATGTACATATGTATTTTTCAAATCTACTAGCTACTTTCACACGTACAAATTCTCATATACTTTCAATTGTGTATATGGTTCTAAGATGTAGAATTATTCTTACCGCAAAAGTATTGTAACTCGGATAAATATACAAATAACTAATATTGAAGTGATCAATAAATACAATGCAAATAACTTTTCATGTCTTGTAAATTTGCAATAAGCTTGTTATAATCGCTTTATAATCTTTACACATTTCAAGGGTTTTTAAAAGCATTGTAAAGTCTCTAATTAAAGAGGATAGATGAAAAAAAATACTCCTAATACTTTGATAGTTGTCGGTTAATGACTTGATTCATGCTCTTTCATTCCAAATAGCTTATAGTCCAGGTTTATATGTATTCGAGTTTTAAATTATGAGTATTAATTAGTCAACACTAAATTTTCAAAGTGATTTGGTTTGAATCGAGTTTTGACATGTCTAGTAGAAATACTTCCTTTGTCGCCTACAACATACAACATGCAACACACAAACAATATTATACATACAATTAACCACCTCCGATCCATGCAATAGATATAATCATTTGCCAATCAACCTTGTACGTTGTCTATTTCATATAATCGACCACGTACGTACGTTACTACGGAAGGTTCCTAGTGGCAAATATGCTACATCTAACTAGCTGTTCCCAGCCTAGCTTTTTGTACGTATTCCGTACATCATCATAAAAGGAAACTTCATGTTCTTCTTCCTACATTTATTTAGATGTTTTTCTACAATTACAATTATATAAGATCACATCTACTTAATTAGGATCATATTCCATAATAATCTCAAACTTGATTTGATTTCATTCACCTACTACACTAGCGACAATTTTTGTGTTTTTAGCGGCTTCTTTAATTTGAGTAGTAGGTAAAAGTACATATTCTTGTTGTGTTAGGTTAATACTTATCACGATATACACAATTTATTTGTCATTAAATTGTCATTATCATCCCTTAATAATAAAATAATGTCATCTCCTCGCCCTAATTTCACTGATTTAAGTGATCTCCACAAATGTGCAAATGATTTACTACATTCACCACACATCCAACAAGCCCTTCACCACCAGCAACAGGAGACGATGTTGTCCGTTCGAGAGATCTCGGAAGCCTCATTGAAGATGTTAGATTTGTGTGGTACAACAAGGGAAGTTCATTTACTTATCAAGCAACACCTCCAAGACCTCCAACACACTCTCCGTCGAGCCAAGATTGAAGAGTTTGACTTCGACGCCCACATCATGGCACACACCCTACACCGGAAGAAGCTCAAGAAGAAGGTGTCTAAATGCCTTAGAATTACAAAAGGGACGATGAAGAGTAAATGTTTTACGTCCGACCTTTCGCTTTTAGACCATAGTCTTATAGTAGTTGTGCATGTTTTGAGGGAGGTTAAAGGGGCTACTATTTCTATTTTAGAGTCTCTTTTATCTCTTGTTATATTGCCAACTACTATACCTAGTGTTAATCATGGCAAAAGTTCATCGTTCGCGTCGAAATTAAGGCGTATAAATTGCCAAAGATTGTTAGAGAGATGTGATTCAATGGATATTGGAGTGGCAAATAAGAGATTAGAGGAAGTAGCAAGTGCCATGGAAGAGCTTGAAGTTGAGTTAGAGTCTATTATTAGGCGGTTGACAAGAACTAGAGTTTTACTCCTTAACATTCTTACAAATTAGGTGATAGAATATCTAATTAAGGACTAGCAAACCCATTTCATTATTTAATAATGGTGTTTTGCCAAATGTGGGGTTAAATGATACCAGTAGCTTAGCTAGTTTAAAAGCAATATATAATTCATAGCAGAAAAACAAAATTAGCAACGATTAAATAAAGGATTTTTATCTGGTAGCAACATATATAATTTTGTATAATCTCATATTGGTAATAATTGTTCTCTAATCTAGCTTTATTTATTTCTAATTTTTAACGTAAACTATCATTGTAAATTTATTATAATGTTAAAGCTCAAAGTTTGGGTTTATTGTTTGATTGAAAATCAAGTTGATATAGTGAAATTTGAAATTAAGGCACCCAATACGTAAACTTGTGAATATTAACCATATAAACAAAAATTTTAAAAAGGAAATTTAGATTTGCTTTGCACAAGAAATATTGTTTTAGTATATATATATATATATATATATATATATATATATATATATATATATATATAAATATATATATATATATTTTAACACAACCACCTTTTTTATGATTCCTTTCACCAAAGGTATACTTGTTTTTATATACTTGTAAATTAGGTTGCAATCTTGAGAGAAGACGGACTTAACTTTACCCATACCTATTGGCCTAGGGAAAATAATACTAAAACAATATTACTCTTTTTTTTTTATTATTTGAAAAGACGGACTTAACTTCACCCATACCTTATCTATTGGCCGGAAAAAATAATACTAATACGAATTGAAGTATATGTTTTGAAATCAGATCTAAAACCCCATTTCAAGCTAAGGAGCTGCCTGGAATGGGTGTAATGGGAGGGGAAAAATTACATGAGTAATAATTCTGGATTTTTTTAAAGTTTGGATCTAGGGTAATTAATCAGTGGGGTAATCTATTTCCCTAAAAATGGGGTTAATAATTACCCACCTCCCCCCTAGCATAACAATTTCCCCCGTAACAATTCCTCTTCTATACTGCATCTTCTTTTCCCCTGCTATGTACTCTCTCCTTCACCTTCATATCCCTCCACCCAATTGAAGTTGTTGCCGCCATTATAGCCGCCTGGTTGAAGCTGCTAGCCGCCATAGCTCATCAATTCCGGCGAATTACGAACAAGTATCTTGAATCGGACCCACTGGTTGAAGAGATAGTTGAACAAATGGTTAGGGCTTTTGATTATTCAAGTGAGGTGATGCTCGTGGTGGTCTCAAGTTTATCAACGACATGGTGGTTGCCGCCGATTGCCATGAATTGGTGGTCTTTACCCTAGGATTGTTGCCAAACCTCAGAAAATGAATTATTACTCTCTAAATCAATGCTCAAGTAGAATCTATCCCGTTATATATTACCCCCTTCATTATTTCTGGAATTCCAGGCATGCCCTAAAGCTAAACTATATACTCTCCTGATCTCCTCACACACTAATCATCAGTTTTATTTAAATGCAACAAAAGTTCCCACAATATAATTAATCTATACACGGATAAATGATTTATTTCTATAATATTGGGTTAATATTGCATTATTTTTTAATACAGTTAAATAATGTACTCGTCCAACATGTTAATTTATTGCATTATTCTTTAACACAGTTAAATAATATACTCGTCCAACATGTTAATTTATGTTAATTATTTTTGGGACGAAGAGAAATAAATTTGTTTAATAAGGGCCCTTACAAAAAGATCTACTGGCCCAATGCATTCCTAATTCTAACAGGCCTACTAACAGCCCATCAAGGCGCATATAAATAGTTGCCTAATCTCCTCCAATTTGTAACAGGTAACTAACTACTACTGAGTAAGACACTGTTTGATTCACCTTAATTTTGCTGAAGTGAAATTATTTTTACTGAACTGAACTTATTTTTACTGAACTAAAATTATTTTTATTGAACTGAAATTATTTTTACTGATTTTCTATTATAATTCTTCTTTAAGAAAACTGAATTTTACTGAACTGAACTTATTTTTACTGAACTGAAATTATTTTTACTTAACTGAACTTATTTTTACTGAACTGAAATCATTTTTACTTAATATTATTTTTTTTAAGGTGAAAAGAACAGGGTCTAACTCACATTTACTATAGATTCACTCGTGAACAAACATACTACAAGTGTCAAGTCACCCTTACTTTGGTTCATCAACTAATTTAGGGCCTTTAGGCAATGGAGGGATTTCCTTTAACTCTTGAACAAACTTCCAATATAATGCTTCCTTGAACACACCCATTGCATAGTTTTTTTAAAGAGATTATTTAGGCAGTTTTTTAAAACCAGAAAGAAACACAGCTATATCACCCTGACCAATACGGTATACGAATATATAATAAGTACACTTTTTTTTTCTTTTTTTCTTTTTTTTTATAACACAAACAATCATTATACGTTTCATCTACAATCTTTCTTACTTTATTTTTTTTAACACACACCAAAGATATATTATATAGATATGACCTAAAGGCCTTTAGGCAGCTTAAAGTTGTTCATTACAATAGTTAGGTAAATTGGTATAAACCACCTTTTATGTTTTTTTTTTATTTACTAAACCACCTTTTTAAGTACCTAAATTTTTTATTGCACCACCCTTATTTCAAATCTAACAGATTGCATCTCAACTATCTACTTCCAAATCATCAACCATAGAAAAACCTTCCCTTTCATCACTTCAATTACCTCAACTTAAGGTTTGAGAATAAACAAATATCATAATTTAATTTTTGTAGCAAAATTAGGCTTGGTTTTTTAAAGCTTTACTCAATTTAGTCATGAATTTATATAGAGGGAAGGGTAAAATGTTTTTTGGGGTGAAAAAATACATGATTTAGAAGCGAAAGGCATAAGTTGTGGGCCCCCTGACGTCTCAGTTAAATTTTTCGTCAAAATTTAAAATAGAGGTGGTGCAATCAAGAATCTATACTGTATATTAAAAGGCGTTCATTTTAAAGGAACGGTGCCACGTGGCACTTTTCAAAGTATGTGTGCCTATGTCACAATGTCATGTCATCATCCAATGTATATGCGCAACGTAAGCTAGCCACTTCATTTAACAAAATAAAATATGCTTTCAACAAGATTCGAACCCATAACCTCCAATATATGTAGGAAATCTTCAGCATTCTGAATCATTTTCTTTAAGACATCAACATCTATTTCTAGTTCAAGGTGATGCAGGTTGAACTTTTTTGTAGCAATAAACCCCTCCCTTTTTGTATTTCTTCCACTATACTTTTAATACCCATAAGTCATGATACCAATTTTTTCCCAAACATATGTTTTAAAAGATATAGTACATTCAACAATTGTGGTAAAAAGAGTTTTAAAAAAAAATCATTTTCCTTTAATGGCCACAAACCAACCATTAGTTACATATTTACACTACAAAATTACATCGTATTATTTTGCCAATTAAAAGACAAATCAATCAATAATTATATCCTAGGAAATTTTGTCATTTTTTTTTATTTTGTCAAAAACTACCTAGTAAATTTTTTTTTGTGAGAAACTATCATCTAAATAAAATTAGGGCTTGTTTGGTTCACCTTATTTTTACTTATCTGAACTGATTTGATGTGATCTAATCTGATCTGATTGTCTAATTTGACTAAACATCTATCTTAAATGTACGATAATCTATAAGGAAAAAAAATATCAAGTGAGATCTTGTTAAATTCATAATAATGTGTATTTTATTAATATGTAATTTTCACAATTTTTTTAATTACGAAATTCAAAATATTTAGCGATAAAAAACTACACATCAAACGGTGATCTCATCAGACATTATTTTTTCTGATATGATCATTACTTATTTTTTCTGAAATAAGTATAAATAAGGTGAACTAAAAGACTTTATTTGCAAAAACATGTCACTCACCATATTTTCAAGTTTGACCTCAAAAACACGGTGTTGACCAGTTATGTGACTTCATTAAAACTTTTTTTTTTCCTATTCTTTTCCTTCCTCTTTCTCATTTTTCCCTATCCTAAATTCTAAAATTCTTGATACCATTTTTACTTGTTTTTTCCAACAACAAAAAAACAAAAAAATAAAAAAAAAACAAAAAAACAAAAAAATAAAAAAAATGTACTTGTAATATTTGGGCCATGAACCATAGAATTGATCAATAATGATTTCATTTTAAATACGCTAGCACAAAGCCCACCAACATCACAAGTTAGTGAGTTACAGACCTTAACAAACGGCCCAATAAATAGGGCACCGCAAAAATTCCTTGTACTATATAAATTCTCTTTCTTTTTAGTATCAACACTGATTTTAGGGTTTAGTTGCTCCACATTTTGCTGAAGAATCGCCGCCATGGGAAGAAGTAATCCTCTTAATCTCTCTCCTTTTTATTTTTCTCTTCATTTCCAATCTGTTTGTTAATTATTCTGGAATGTTATACCGATTTGTATGTTATTGATCTGTTTGTTAATTATTCTGGAATATTATACCGATATTAGTATAGAAATGTATGTTGTTGATGATTCAATTTGCAATTTTTGCGCATTTCTTGATATTATGATATAAATGCTCTTGTTTTTGCTTAGATTTCATCTGCTAATGTATTCAGTATTGTTGAATTAGATATGAGGAGTTAATTAGTTAATTTGGCTGCTTTTGTTTGTAATTTTTGGAATTTGTGTGAATAATAATTAGGTTTTTAGATTTTGTTCAGCTTCGCCCTATTTTAGAGTTGTTTTAAGTCTTACAATACTTATTTTTATGTGCATTTGTTATACTTGAGATTGAGAATGCATTATAGTAAATCAAATTTAAAACTTTATAAATTTTATATCATGTTTATGAGTTTTAATGTTATATTCGTATAATGATATTGCCTTTGAGGTTTTACAGTTAATGAGATTGAAATGTGAGATGTTTTCCATTAGATGGATAATGATTGAATAAAAAACTAAAATGTGATTTGGGTAATTTGATTTGTTTAGGACCGGCAAGATGCTACCGTCAGATTAAGAACAAGCCAT